TCAAAATTATGGTAGAATTCGATAATTATCGGGACTTTGGCAACACTGTTGCCAAATTACGTCTTCTAGAGAAATGTCCTCACAGCGTCATTCAAGTCAGTAAGGAAAGGATAGATATTTGAACATGGTCCTTATAGCGTTATTTATTCACACAAAATCGCTAGTTTCCACATTTTGGATCGTTTTTACTACTGGAAAATAATATATTACAATAATATTATTTAGAGAACACAGCCGGCGAATTTTTTTTTATTTGCGAAAACACGCTTCACTTTGGATTCTTATTTTCGTGTTAGGGCGGTGTTGCCGCTTTTACAATTTCATTCTGTTGTTAACCGTGTTGCCATAATTATTTATTTATAATCTAGGAAAAAGTGAGCGTTCACGTAAATATAAAATAGCAGAGTAAAATGGATGGCAATGCAAACGAAATAATATTTATGCGGTGTTACTAAGTACTTTCGGCAAGAAGTGAAGACTAAACAGGAAGTTAGGTACATGTAGAAATAGTAGTTAGGTTGGGACACCAGTTATATGTTATTCCTTTCTTTGGTACGTCCGGTAGGAGATAGCGTGATGATCTCTTCGTACCCCTTCCCGCACCTTGTTTTTTTCTGCACTAGCGTGAGGGATTATCAGTGTAGAATTTTAAAGTTTGCGTATACCGAGTGTTTTCCAGAACTCGCTCACCTCTAAAACTTTTGTACTTCCAAAAATAAACGAATCAAATTTGTTGTTTTTATTCATGACCCAAATGTGCATTATTTGACGTATCCAATTATTTATTATCACTTCTGGTTTGACCGGAAGTTACCCTAACTTTCTTACTTTAAATGAGACGCCGCATGTATATTTTCCCTTGTTCCTAGAAAACTACATAACACGAGAATGACACCTCATTTTCCACTTTTTGACCTTTGATCTCCAAGTTATTCAGATTTCTACGCGGGTCTTCAATTCCCAGTTCTAAAAATTTTTTCCCAGCATATTTTAGAATTTATGTATTGTTCTGAATCTTTCTTATTAGATTGTATTGCAAGGAAATGAGGAAACCTTTTATAACGTACCTAACCTCTTAGAAGCAGTTCAGGTATATCCGACAAGTGTTGACCTCCTGGCTCCTACCTATCATTCGTAGCAATTAGGTTTCAAACTTATCAATTTGATTTATTTTCAAAAGATACACACTAAGTGGATGTCCTTATACCGTAAACAAGCCCCACACTGATACACAATTATACACTTGAAGAGCGCCATCTACGTTAAACTGACCAAAATGGGTGAACTAAGTTTTCGGGTGTAAGGTACGCTATGAGGACCCACATGATATATATACAGTTAGGACCGAAATGAGACGTACAAGCCACTTATGAGGACCGAACGCTCCCAGGACCAAAATTGGTCCTCATAACGTTTTCAGTCCTTACAAAGTCGGTGAGGAGTGGGTGTGTGTCCTCATAAGATACGAGAAGTCCACATACACACAGACGGAAATGTGCCACCTTGCCAAAAAGGCTTAAAATGATCCAAAACGTCAAGATTTAATGAAATTTTGACATGGTCAAAATCGGGCTATCACCATAGCTTCCTATCTAGGAAGCTTAAAATGTTGTTAACGACATCCCCAATAACATATTTAAATTTCATCCAAATATCACGGGTAACCAATTTCCATTTAAATATTGCGGGGTCCTTTATTAAGAGGGGGGGGGGAAGGTTTTTTACGTGAAACTGGACTTCCTTTCTTCAATCCTGTAACCTCCAGGGCTACCACCCCAGAATTTTCAAATTTGACAGGATGTCGGTCGAGTCATAGACCCTTTCAAAGGGCTGTTTAATCTGTACATTTTGCTGTTATATTTTTTGAATTTGACCTCAGTTTTTATAACACCCATTTCAATGTTTGAAAATTCCTACTTATCTTTAAAATGTATAGATTAAACAGCCCTTTAAAATGATCTGTCACTCGATTTCCTGTCTTATTTGAAAATTTTGGGGTGGTAGACCTAGGGCTTAGGGAGGTTAAAGGGGCAGAGTCCAGTTTTACGTAAAAAACATTTCCCTCATAAAGGACCCCGCAATATTTAAACGGAAATTTAAATATGTTATTGAAAATGCCGTAAGCAACATTTTTTACCGTGGGCGCAACCTTGTATATATGACAGGTGAGGAGGTATCAGCTGTCAAATATTGGAATCTAATAGTCAAAAGCAGGGTAACTATGGCAGATTTTGATGAAGCAAGTATCGATGCCTAATAAGTCGATCAAGGAGAATCGAAAAATGTCAACCATTTTGACATCTGTCAAAACTCTGCCAAACGGCAGCACTCTTATTTTTTAGTATTCATTATTTCATGATGTGTCATTTGACAGTTACAACCTATGTGAGCTCTCAGTTCAAAAATTGAAAAAAAAAAATACAGAACTGTCAAAACCCGTAATTTTTTTTAGTAACAAAAAAAAAGATTCCAATTTGGCTCTTTTTCGTTTGAAGGTAGTTCATTGGTGATAAAACATTAAACAAAGCTCATAGACATCAAATGTTGACAGCTGTCAAAATATGACATTAGCTTTAATTGAAAAAAAAAACCTGAATTCTAGTTCTGTTCCAATAATTTAAGTTATGCTTATTTATTATGAACCATAGAAAAACTTTATACACAGGTTTCAGCTGTCAAAATTTGATGTCTATCAGCTTTGCCTAATGTTTTATTACCAATAAACTACCTTAAAACAAAAAAGAACCAGACATTAATCTTTTTTCCTACTAAAATGAATGACAGGTTTTGACAGTTCTGTCATTTTTTTTTCCAAGTTTTCAACTCAGAATTGACATAAACTAAAACTGTCAAATGACACATCATGGAATATTAAAAACTGAAAAATATGAGTGCTGCCGTTTGGCAGGATTTTGACAGATTTCAAAATGGTATCTTCAGAAAGTGTTTTTCCTTACTTTCAGGTTGCACTGATGATGGCCACGGCCGAAAGCGCTTTGCACTGATATTTATTAAAGAATTTTGCACGGAATACAAAACTTTTTCATTCTTCATTACTCCTCAACGTGCACACAGCTCTACACCCTCTATTATTCAAAATGGTTGACATTTTGTAGCCTCTTTTTTAACAAAAAGGGTACTGCAGTGGCAGCTGTTCGCCAGAGAGCATAATTAGGGTCAATAAGGAGTGTCTTTAGTGGGCGCCAGAAGATTTAAATTTTAAGTTCCAAATCCTCAAATGAACTTTATCAAAAATTGCATAATAAAAGAAATCTGAAAAATAGGTAATCCAAAAATAATTATTGTAACAACTGTCTGCACTTAGTTTTGTTTATTAATTGAAACTTTGATGTTTGTTAAAGGCTTTAACTTAAAGCCTGAGTGCAAAAATGTATATCCCTCGTTAAATTCTTAAACCTAAAAAGCTGAAATTTTCCCATCTAAAAAAAGCTTAAATTTTCCCTAACAATTCATTGCACCCTGTGCAATGTAACAGTACAATATGTATAACCCTTGACTTCTTGGCCTGATCAGGACCAAAATTTATTAATTAAATCCAAGGATTTAAGACATAAAGTTAATCTTATAATTATAAAAAAAACTGTTCAATCCATGACCAGCTAGAGTGAGTTCAATTAAAGAACCCTCATACAGGCACCATGAAGACATGCCAAAAGGTGCTGGAGGCTGCGAGCTGCACACTCTCGTAGATAAAATCGTAGTGGTTTTTGGTGACTGGCACCACTACAGTTGGAGCCCCTCGGTAGATCCTAATAATTATATTTATCTTTTATAACAACCCTTGCATGGTGATTTAAGGAATATCATAGCTGAAGCAAACTTACCTTGAAAATCAAGGATCTGCACAGAAAATGAGTGACTCGACCACGAAAATATTGACGAAGGGCATCTCCCAGGCCATCCAAATGCACTTTAAGCTATAATACAAGGCGAAATTAGGCAGGATGCCTTAGATAAACTTGGAAAACCAAACTTACCAGCGATGATCTCAAATGAGGTTACGGAACTTTCTCGATAACACAAGGGAAAAACATTTCCACAAGCACTAGGCCACTTGAGCATTTAAACTTTACTCATTTAAAGTAAAAGTCGAGGAAACTGACAAAATTTTGACTTTCTGAAGGGATGAGGGATAAAATTATTATTTAAGGCACCCCAGTACGCCCGTACCGTTCGAGCACCTTCAGAAAAGTGGCTTAGAGAACGACAGGAAGGAATGACATGACATTCGGAGCATGAATGTAGCAACAAACCTAAGGGCCTGTATACAACATTAACTTAACTTAAAATTATTTACATCTCATTATTAAACCTCAAATATAGCCTTAAACGGTAACATTGTAAATATTGCACAATAATCTTACAAAATAACAATAATAATAATAATAATAAACAGTTTAAGATTATCAGCTGAAAACAATATTAAATTTGGCGAGTAGCAAAATCAAGGTTACAACTGAGAGAGGTTGTCTGGTAAAAATACATTTCAACAGTTAAGCTACGTCATCAACGGTACTGTACAACCTGCTGCTCCAAGACATTTTTAAATAAAATTCACAACAATAAATACCAAGTAGCTTTCAAACGCTACAATTTTTCGATTTACCTTGCCATAGTCACCCTGCTTCTGAATATGAAATTCCAATATTTGACAGCCGATACCGCCTCACCTGTCATATATACTAGGTTGCGCTCATGGTAAAAAATGTTGCTTACGGCATTTCTAAAAACATATCTACATTTCATCCAAATATCACGGGTAATCAATTTCCGTTTAAATATTGCGGGGTCCTTTGTTGACGTGTTTCGGCGATTTTCAGAAATCTGTCTCTTTTCGCTGATAACGTAGGTGGCAAGTTTTGTATGTTTTTTAAGAAGCAAGTTTCACTGAGGAAACTAGTACTTATAATAAATCTTCAGAAAGTCTATCAACATGAACATTTTTTCTAGTTGATATAACAAGTATATGTTGCTTTCAGAAATAATAGAAAAAGTGAAACACCCTCCGCCCCTAATAAGACCCTCAGTCAGTAAAGGGGCAGCTCCACCGGAAGCGATCAACATCATGCGTCAGTGCTGGGCGGAACAGGCGGAAATGCGTCCGGATTTCAATGCGGTCCACGACCAATTCAAAAAATTAAATCACGGACGAAAAGTGAACATTGTCGATACGATGTTTCAGATGTTGGAAAAGTATTCCAACAATTTGGAGGAGCTTATACGCGAGAGGACCGAACAGCTTGATATTGAGAAAAAGAAGACTGAACAACTTTTGAATAGGATGTTGCCGAGGTAAGGAATTTTTTTCGATCAAGTTTTGAGGCATGGAATTTACTTCTTCCACGAGTCATAGAATTACATAACTTGTCCATCAACTTTGCGGCGAGTGATGACATTTTCTGTGATGATGTTTTGACAGCTTCATATTTTCTCAAATATGTATTAGGTTTGTGGTCGTTTTCCTGTAGTACTAAGTACTATATTTTCTTATCTTTTTGTGTCAATTATCTACTATTCTAATATATTGTCGGCTCTGGGGTGCGTGACAGAAATCTTGTGTCCGTTTATTCCAAAACTCAAAGTCCCTAATTTATTCCACGTTACTATACACTCTGGCACTATTACTTCACTATTTAAATCAAACAACTTAACTCTTTCCAACTTCTTTGTAGGATTGCTTGTTGTTGATCCATTCTTCGAAATGAAAATATTGTCTCCTGCTTTGCATAGGAATGAAATGGGTATGGTTTTGATTTTTGTCCTCTCGTAGCTTTTTGTCAAATCCTTCTTTGAGAAGTTTTAAGAACGTATATCTTTTACGTCTATTTAACGTTCGAAGCTAAAAACGTCAATTTGACGTTCTTGTTACTTTAAGATGAATTCCAGTTAAAGATTAGTTCTCCAAGAATGTTATTCCAAAGTGTTTAAAATTTATGAAATCGGTGAATCAAGATTTTGCAATAAGCTATAACAAAATCCCCTTTATAACCACATCAGGCTCTAGCTTATAAAATTAAGCATCAGCGCGTTGGCGTGAAACACTTCATAAAAGATATTTCGCACCCTCGAAGTTTGGCGCCTTGCTTTCATCCCCCGGACGAACAGGAAATCTTTATCTCGTGTGTTTACTTTCGGTGGAAACTAAATTTGCTTTTTTATCTTTTTCACTCTTCATGATTGCCTTAAAAGCTTTTTATCATGAAAAATGTTTTAAAACGCCTATATTGTTTCAGTTATGTTGCCGAAAAGTTGAAATTAGGAATGCCGGTCGATCCTGAAGAGTACGAAGAAGTGACAATATATTTTTCCGATATTGTGGGTTTTACTACGATATCGGCTCATTCGACACCATTTCAGGTAAGTTTGGTAGGTACCAGATTAATCAACACCAAATGCAAAATTGTAATTTAACCAATAAGAGTCGTGTCTTCTGATGTCCATCAACTTAGCGGAGTTTCTTTTTTCTAGGATTTTGGTTTGCTTACTTTTCATTTTATCTCATAAATTAACGTTAATTTCTTTAAATGTTTTGGCTAGGTCTATTATATTGTCACACAAGGCCCTTTCGGCTCGTGAGGGTTAGACCTGAGGTTAGGGTTTGCTCTTCAGGAAAACACACAACTACAACGGGAATAGTGTATATTATCGTCCAATAGGTACATTACCAAAGGGGCACTACGTAGATGTACCACATGACTCTTGTGCTGGGGCTCTATGTAGGAATACGGGTTCTGCACGTATAGGCAACGCTACCCTGCTGGAGGGTAAGACTCTCTGGGGTAAGGTGACCATGAGGAGAGAGTGATCCGAAGGGGTTAATGCTTCCTGGGGTAAGGAGACCCTGAGAAGAGAAAGACCCGAATGCATGCCGATACCATGGTTGTATCGGGTTTTCATATTCATGGCGTGTAAACATAATTTACGCGTTGACCTGCTTAAACCGCTGACTGTCGATAATTCGTGTTCTAGTTAGTTTTAATTATTTTTGATATACAGGATGGTTTTTATTTATAGACCATTAGTTGACATATGCGCCTCCTGTGAAGGCGTTGGCCCCCAACGCTAAGAATCATGTGACCATACCTTTACAATAATCTTACTTATTCTATAAAAGTACTAGTTAAAACAATATATACATTATATATGAAAAGAATTTGGTATCTCAGTACCCCTTCTGTTGCCTCCTAGCTGCTTGTTCGGGAATATTTCTTTCCCTCTTTTTTTTTCTTTCGTTTCGGCCCCTGTAACAATAATGTCAAAGTGTTAGTAAATTTCTTACCTCCTGTATGTGTGAATTTATTTATTATGTTATGCTTAATTGACTAAATATACCTATAAATTGTTAATTACCCCTTTGGTGAGTATTTAAATATGGAATGTAAGTAGCCCAAAAAATATTTATACATATTTCATTTCCTTTCACTTTCTCTTTTATATATTATGTACTCATATATATATATATTATTTTTATATATATTTTTAAAAAATAAACAATAAAAAATAAAAATAATAAAAAAATATTCAATTCTGTATTTCTTTGTTTTGCTAAAACTGACCTACCTCTACACTTAATTACCTACACAAAACTAAAATATAATTTAATAATAATTTAATAGCACTTATCTTTGGGTATATGATATCCTCTAGGTGTCATTTTGCAGGCCGGTGTTTTTTGTTGATGTTGCACTCTGGTTGTTCGTTCGTTGTACCTCTTCCAGTTTTTTTTCGACCCTTGCCCGATTGAGCCTAATGTTTGCTCTAGAGATTGGCCGATTTTATTCATCCGAATCTTCAACTCCTCTGACGTCATGACCATGGAGTCCAATTTTTCTTGGGTTGCTACGCCACAACAGTAGTTTAGACCGTCCGCTATAAATGATAGTGACAGTGCCCTTTTTCTTCGCCGGATGTCCATTACTCGGAGGTGGGCAGGATCCCAACTGTTGGTAAACAAGGTGATTTCGTTGTCGATGGCTACTGCTATCTCTTCTAAGTACTTCATTGCTTTGCAACTATCTTCGTTAATATTATCTTTTTTCAGGCATTGAAATCTTGGAGTCTGTTGTGGAGGTGGCTCGTGGATCCAGTCGACTTTGTACGTAAGCGGAATCGTCCCCTCGTACGTAATGGTATCTGGTAGCTCTCTCCAGGTGGCCCCTGCTGACATTTCCACCTTCTGGCCTCCCACTCTTCGAGATGCTGCTGTGATTAGCCGAGAACAGGGAATGTTATTAGATACCCTCCTGCGTGCGAGTGTGTGCGTGTTTTTTCCTCTGAGGCCTCCGGTCTTTCAGGTCATTTAACCTCGTTTATTCTTCTTCGTTTATTTCTACATCGTCTTCGTTTATAGGGGATCCCTTTGTCCAGGGATCATTGTAGGGTAGTATTCGGCCCACATGAACGATATCCGTAGTTTTATTTCTTGCGCCTATTTTTTTCACCTCGTAATCCACGTTGCCGGTTTTCTTTATTATCTCGTAGGGTCCAAACCATCTTAATAGCAATTTTTCACTGGGTCCAACTTTTCTTATTGGGATAAAGATTTTAACTTTATCTCCTGGTGTGAATTCCAGCTCTCGGTGACCCTCGTCATATCTCAGTTTATCCTTCTTTTGTCTTTTTGTGATGTTTCCCACTGCCATTGCCCTCATGGCAAGGGCTTTCTCCCTAATTTCTAAAGCGTCAGTTTTGACGTCGTCGTCTATTAGTGCTGCTTCGCTTGGGAGTACCGGGTTTCTGGCATATACTAGCATGAATGGACTAAAATGTGTTGTTTCTTGTACGGCGGTGTTGTATGCGAATGTTACGAATGGGAGGTATGAGCACCAGTCGGTTTGTTGAGTGTTGCAGTACATGGACAGCATGTCTGCTAAGGTTTTATTTAACCTTTCCGTGAGCCCATTGCAGCACGGATGGTAGGCCGTAGTGAAATTGCTTCTTACCCCCATTATCTTAAGTAGTTCTTGAATCAATTCCGATTGAAACACTTTACCTCTGTCGCTGAGAATCGTTTTAGGCATTCAATGGATTAGGAGTACTTTTTCTAGCAAGAACCTGGCGACGGGTCCTGCTTTACCGCTTGGGAGTGCGGCAGTAATGGCGAACCTCGTGGCGTATTCTGTCACCACTACGATCATAGTATTACCTTTATTGCTTCTCCTGAATGGCCCTAGTAGGTCTATGCCTATTCTTTCCGACCTCGATAGGTTGTAGTAGGCCTGCTGGCTTCCTATATGCTTGTTCTTTTCTGGCTTGGCAGTCCTGGCACCCCTTTACATATTTGTCTATGTCTTTATTCATATTTTCCCAATAATACCTCTCTTGTATTTTTTGCAGCGTCTTTGACAAACCCAAGTGCCCACTTGTTGGGGCTGCATGTAATTCCCACATTACTTCTTCCACCATTTCTCTAGGGACTACCAATACCTTGTCCAGGCCTTTTTGGGCATTATTGGCTTTATACAGGATGCCGTTAATCAGTCGAAAATTTTTTGATCTCCTCATTGTTCCTATCGGGATATTATTGTTGTCTGGATTTTCTATGGCGTCTTTCAGGCATCGTATGCCATCTTCTTTATTTATCTGTAATTCGGCGACATTTTGGCTTCCTGTAGCGTATGTTGGAATTTCGCCTACTGTGTCGTCAGCTACTTCTAGCGGAGGGTCTAATAACGGGTATCTGGATAGGCAGTCCGCGTCCCTATGGCTGGTACTCTTTTTATACTCCACTGTGTAGTCGAATTCTGCCAATTTCAATGCCCATCTTGCCAGTCTTCTGGATTGTTCTTTTATGTTATCAATCCAGCATAGTGCGTGGTGGTCGGTGACTATTTTAATATGCCTCCCGTATACTAGGTGCCGTAGGTAACCCAAGCTCCATACTGCAGCTAGTAGTTCTAGCTCACTTATCGAATAGTTCTGTTCTGCTTTTGAAAGGCTCCGGCTCACGTATGCTACCGGGTGGATGCTGCCTTTGTCGTTTTCTTGTAGCAGGACGGCCCCAATGCCACTGATCGATGCGTCGGTGTGTATTGTGCACCCTATGTTGGGATTGAAATGTTATAAAACTGGTGCAGATATCAATTTTTCCTTTAGGTCGGTAAATGCTCTTTCTTGGTCGGGCCCCCATTTGTAACTGTTTTTTTTTGTTGTTTCGTGCAGTGGCTTCGCGATTATTGAAAAATCCTTGATGAATTTCCTATAAAAATTGCAAAGCCCCAGAAAGCTTTGCACATCTTTAACCTTCTTCGGGCGTGGGAAGTCTTTAATGTACTTTATTTTGTCCTCGTCTGGTTTGATTCCTTTGCTGTTCACCGTGAACCCCAAAATTTTAATTTCTTCCTGCAGGTATTTGCATTTGCTTGGTTTTAAGGTTAGGTTTGCTTCTCGAAGTCTTTGGAAGACTTTCCTCAACTTCTTTAGGTGGGTTTCTAGAGTGTCCGAAAATATGATAATATCGTCTAGGTATATTAACACCTCCTTCCATTTCATGTCCCAGAATACTCTGTCCGCTAGTTCTTGAAAAGTTGCGGGGGCGTTGCATAGTCCGAAGCTTTAGACGTTGAATTCATATGAACCATGTCCTTGAGCTACGAAAGCTGTATATTGTTTTGACTGCTCCTCCACCGGTACTTGCCAGTATCCTGAAAACATATCCAATGTGCTGAAATATTTTGCCTCTCCTAAATATGTCAATATGTCATCAATTTGCGGTAAGGGGTAGTTTGATTTTTTTGTTACAGCGTTAATTTTTCTGTAATCGACGCAGAATCGTGCGGAGCCGTCCTTCTTCTTTACTAGTACCACTGGGCTGGCCCAGGGTGAGTGGCAAGGTCTTATGACGTTGTGTTTCAGCATTTCGTTGATTTGTTCGTCAATTATCATACGTTCCTTTTGTGACACTCGGTATGGTCTACTCTTTACTGGATTGGCTGCTTCGATTTCTATAACGTGTTTTGTGAGGTCAGTTTTTCCCATATATCTTGGTGACTTAGCAAATACATCACTATACTCGAGCAAAATTTCTTTTAGTTGATTTTTTTCTTCCTCGTCCCATATGTTTTCGAAGTCGTGATCGCCTATGGTCACTATTTCGTCTTCTGCTTTTTCCGTTACATTGAAGTGCCAGAGGCTTGTGACTTTCTTGCTTATTGGTCGTAGGTGCCCTATTGCGGAATACTTGTATATGCGGACTTGTTGGATGTTATATGATCTTAGTTTCATCCATAATTTCTGTCCGTCAGAGTGTATCTGTGTCTCTGGGATCAGTTTATTTTTTGTGAGAAACGCGTCGTTCCACAGGAATTCGAATGATCCTTCATCTGGTGGGGCTGGTTGTATTCCTAGTGCTATTAATC